AACAACTGTTCAGTGATGTCTCTGTGCTCGCGAGGGTGAAAATTTCAGCTTGAGTTACAAAATCGTTTTCAGTGCCTAGAAGACTGCAATGTAGCTATATGAATGACAAACTCGTGGAAACTGTCCATGCGGTCGGAGCTGAGTTTTGCTAGACCCGTCGTAGAAAAATACAAAAACTCTCCGATCACGGTCTACATCTCATGGCTGTTAGATGGGAAATGAAGTCGTAACCTTCAGCAGATTTGACAGCATACATGCAACTGAAAAGACATATTTCCAAATGCATGCGGCGGGACTTACGCAACTTCAATACAGCTCGTATTGAAGAAGCGAATGGGCGGAACCAAGGCTCCCAAGTCTTTACCAGAGATATGTCTGCCAGAAAGACCAACTCTCGAAGCTGAAGACGGAATGTGGAAGCATCGTTTCCGGGATACCTGAGATTTTAAGTGAGATTGAGAGGTTATATGGGCAGCTGTACAGGTCATCGTTGGATACACACGCAAGTGTGAACAACGATCCAAGTTCAGGCCTTATCCGACACTCTTCCGATGACATCCCGGACGTCAGGCTGAACAAAATTAGAATGGCTCTCCAGCACCTTAAAAACGGCAAGTCCCGGGGTGAGGATGGAATTACAGTCGAGCTTTTGAAAGCGGGTAAAAAACCGGTGCTTGGAGTTCTTCAGAAGCTTCTTAATTCCATCCTCCAAGATGGCACTATTTCGGAGACGTGAAGCAGAAGTGCGGTGGTCTTGTTCTTCAAGAAATTTTTTTTAGAGTTTCTTTTTAAGCCGCGCCAAGTGCTATTTTAGAGAGTTATTACGAATCGGGACGCACGCAGACTCGACGATTTCCAGCCTCCCAAACAAGCCAGTTTCCGAAAAGACTTTAGCACCAAAGACCACATAACCTTTAAACTGGACAATCTGCCACTTTTTCTTGGGTATGTGAACTATGAGAAAGCCTTTGATTCCGTCGAAGTTTGGACGATGGTACAGTACTTCAGCGATGCCAAATTTTCTATGAGACGTGGTCCTTCACTGCTGGCCGTATAAAGAAATTCAAGGCCGCTCAGCGAGCTATGGAGAGGGAGATATCCGCAGTAGAACCAGAGTAACCACCAAAGCTCAACGGATTACTGAACTGAAATAGCAATGGGCCGGCCATATAACTCTAAGAATCGACAACTGATTGGAAAACAAGGTTCTTGAGTGGTAGCCTCGTACCGGTGAAAAAGTGTGGGGCGGTTCCCCTCTAGGTGAACTGACGACCTGGTTAGTTATGCAGGAAGACGATCAATGCGGGTTGCTCTGGACTGTGCTTTGTGGCATTCTTTGAGGGAGGCCTTTATTCATCAGTTGACTAGTGAAGAACTGTAATGATAACGATGATGAATATAATAATTTAGCTAAATAAAATCTGGTAAGTATGTTTAGTATATTTTGTTTTATTTGGGGGATGCTTGATAGAAAACCGCCCTAGGTGCCAACCCACACTACGCCGCCACTCGTAGCACGCACACATTTTCGGTGCCAGTAATCTATTAGTTGATCTGTGGTGCCGGTGCCACCAGCTAGCCAGTTGCACAAAGTACTTTGTTTGATCCGACCCAATAGTCGGAGAATATTTTTCATTTAGTATCTAACTGTCGTAAATAAATACAACTGCGTGGCATATTTACCGTGCCAGCTATCCGCCTAGCCGGCGCGGCGCCCACAATGGCGCGGGATCCACGCGGGTGACACAGTTTTTGTTCTGAAATGCCGGACATTGAAGTCTCTTTATTTCTAAAATTCCGTCCTGTACAATTTTCATTACAAAGATAATGTTAAAAATACTATTCATTTCTGATATAAAACAACTTAATAAATGGAATATTCCGAGTTTAACTCCTAAATACATGATAAATTAAAACACAGTAATTGTTGTAATAGCTTTCGTATTCAAAATTCCTTGCGGATTGCTCATATAAATAACCATCATAGAAATTACATTATTCGTGCCGCAATGGTGAATATACAAAAACAACCTGCCGTAAAAATATTTTAATTAAACCTAAATAGAAAGTTACAATTCAGTAGAAAAACAAGAAAATTAAAACGACACTTTTTGTTGACGATTTGTTTTAATATTATACAATCGCTCGGATGCACGCCCTATCGGATTTTTACCATGAAACACCTGCTTATGTAGTTTTCGAGAAATTATTTTGAAGTGAAACGTTCTACGGGAGGGCTTTTAAATTCTGATCCGCAACTACTATAAACACTATGTACCGGGTCATTACATACCATAAAGCTTATAGTAATACAATTACAAGATTATGTATAACGGTCTTTCGTTCAAATACTAAGCTGTATTTATTTTAGAAAGAGTGATCCCATTTAAATAATGGCGCCATCTACTACATTCTATAGGTAAAGTCATTTTATCGAACAAAAATTGATTTACTCTCAAGGTGGTACGTAAAGTAGAAGCTAGATGACATAAACCCAAAAAAATAATAATCGATGTTTTGAAATCATGGATTGTTATGAATGGATTGAACAAACATGATAATATTATTTGTGTTTACGCTATCTAGCGCCTTTTCTACGTACCACCATTAGAGTTAATAAATTTTGGTTCAATAAAATGACTTATAGAATGAAGTAGATGGCATTATTAAAAAATTAACAAGGAAGTAATTTGCTAATGTGACAGAGTAGCGTTTATTTAAAATAATTAGTAATTTTTAATTTAAATAATTTTTTGTTGTCTTATTATAATACTTTAGTTTAATAAAAGTAAAATTACATAAATTCATTTCATTTCATAGATAATTACGTAATTAACAAACTAAACCGGTAATTTTTCTTCAAGAAGATGATGCACGGTGACACATATGTATATAATTTTATGTAAATAAATAAATGATATAGGTACACAATCTATGCTATTCAAAAGTCATTGATGAATAATTGAAATGTTTCCCTGTAATACAAGTTTCTCTTCTATCGTGTGTCTTTACGACATACACTGTTTTTTTTTTTAAACCCGCAATACTACATTATTACGGACTCCCTGGCATCATTCAATTTACTTCCGAAACACTGTTCTTTCGCGACTCACTCGTACGTATAATGAACAGTTTGGACACATTGACTTCTTTGCGAAATCTAAATTCATGCTTAAAGATGACATCAAGAAAACGTTTAAAAAATAGAAATAGAGCAGTTGAAGTTAAAATCACTTAATCTCTTTTCTATTTTTTCTATATGTATTTTTGAGGCTGCTAATATAAGTACTTAAGGTGAAAGCGCCAGGGTGGTCCACGAAATTCAAATTGTCTTACGTTTTTTGGAATTTGCAGGGCAGGGTTAGGTTGTATGTTTAACAAAATATGATTCGCAACCGTAACGAGTATGTAATTGCAGAATCAGCACTTCATCGGATCATTGTTCTAAGCAAATACTGAGTCACATACGATTCTCTAAACCTAATATGCAAGTTTGTTTTTCCGTGGTATCGTTAAAACGATATTTATTTATTGACAGTTTTATTAATTTATAATATTTATTGTACAACAAAACAGACAAATATCAATCAAATTACATAGAAGAAACATTTAACAATTATGTGCAAGATTGTTATCCTATTTACATTAGCTACAGGAGAGATCAACTCTTCATTACACAATATTTTGACTTACATATATCCTTAATACTAAAGTAAGATGGGAATGAAGCGCAAATTATTTTACTTCACTTTTGTATGTCCTGGATTTTGGGGTCAAAAATATCTAAGCCGATGTTTTTTTGATATCTTTTTTTTTATAGGATAGGGTGACAAACGAGCACACAGTCCATCTGATGGTAAGTGGTTGCTGTGGCCCATAGACTTCTACATCTATCCTTGTTGGCGAATCAAAATGCAGATGCGTTGTCACCCGTGAGGACTAAGATGGAACGCCTCTTTTCCAGTAAAAAGGGTCTCCGGTTCTCTACACTCACCATACGAAACACAGCAGTGTTGGGCTGCTATTTTACGCTGGTATTCTGTGAGAGCGTGGTATCTCGTAGTACTATAATGTACATAATAATATTGTTGTTATTGTGAATCCTTACTTTACTTATATTTTATGCCAACCCACCTGCCAAGCGTGGCAACTGTGCCAAATCAAATATGAGGCATTCTATGAGAGACGCCTATGGTCAGCAGTGGCCTTTTGATGGGTTAAAATTCGATACCATCCGCATCGTCCTCTGATTTCTTTCTCTTTCCCCCTAAACCTTTTTTAAACCAAATGAGAAAACTATATAAATAACCTGTTAGAACTAAATGAATACGAGAGAGTCCAACTCCCCCATTTCATCCTATAGGTTTCGTAAGTCACCTTTTACTGGCAGCTCCGGAAGACTAGTTTGCATCTAATAATATAGCAATGTTACAACTTCCTCGGACTCGAAGGACCGATGATGTTGAATACAATGATACAGAATCAATTTTTATTCAATATAGATTACTTGAAAGTATTATTCTATTCATGATCTTCTTTAAGTTTACCACGCTATTCCAAATGATGAATGATTATGACGATGAGCACGTACCTAAACGTCTGGTCTTCGGTACGGTATTTTACCCATTTGAATGTACGGATGAGTTATGTCGCTGCTTCATTTCTAAGGTTTATTTACAATCTGACCAACATACCAACACATGAGGTATGTAGATCATCATCATCATCATCATCATCACAGCCTATCCTAAGTCCACAGCTGAACATGGGCCTATTTGCCATCGTTGGCAGGTAAATTGGCAACCCACCTACTTTGTTATTTTTATTACTTTCGGTTTTTATAAGGTGCTGCCCAACTTTTGTATCAGCTCACTCTATCACCTCATACGACAGCCACGGGATGATATGGGTATGTAAATGGTCAAGACAATAAAGTAAATGCTCTACGTCATACGTTTTATTAATACTATTTACAGATACACGTAAATGCTTTGCGCGCTTCAGTCCTCCTCATGTAATGAGAATAACTTCGCCACCTCGAACATATCCTCGAACTCGCCCTGCTTCAGAACCTGTGACCAACAAAATATGTATAAGGTTAGATCATGGAAGTAATTACAATTCAAATTTTTAAAACATTTGTATAACTGGTTAAACCTGAATGATTTTATGACTTAAAACACTTTTTTTTTATTTTTTTTCCACATTCAACAGTTTAAAATTATAATTTGCATTCTATGCACTATTGTTAGCGATACACGACTGCGCTGCGTAAATTATAACATCTTCTTATACTTCATTCTTCAAATAGAGGTTTATGATTTACAACATGTAATAAAAACCCTGTGGTTCCCGTTAAGTTCGTTACGTGTTAAACGGTGTTCAAACGTTCACAAATAACTTTACTTCTGAAAACGACCATAAAAAAAATCAAATTAAATTTAAATACATTTTTATTTGCAAATTGTACCTCTGCATTGGCCAGGAAGTAAGAGTATTTTAACAGTGGTAGAGCCACGCGACAGCTTTTGCTGTCGCACGGTTGTGCCGGTACGAACAGGAATGGTACCACGACCTCACAGAAAACCAGCGTAAAGTAGAGGTTTACCTCTGCGTTTCGCTTGGTGAGTGCAGGTGGCCGGAGGCCCTTTTTACTGGAAAAGAGGCATTCCATCTTAGTCCTCACGAGTGACAACGCATCTACATTTTGATTTGTAATAGAAGATAATCAAACATCATTTTATTATTTTTAGTTTTTTTTTTAAAGATGAAAGTCTTCCGGATAAAATATAGCCTATATCACTCTTGGCATCGTCAAGTTTTAATTACAATCAGCCATTCCGAAGATACCGATCAGGTACGGACACAGACAACAATTTTAAAATTGGTTATTAGTTTTTAATAATGGTTATTGGTATTTTATGCACATAAGCTTCGGCTCAATAAAAGGCACCTACTTCGATTTTACAGACAGACACTTCAATTTTATTTATATGTATAGAGATATTCACCGACACGATTCTCACCTGTCTAGCGATGTGCATGCGATTGAACAGATTCCACAACAGCACCCCCACCACCCGTTTATCCTTTAAGTAGAACACGACTCCCCGCTCGTAGCTACGCGACGAGGGCTCCGAGCTGGTCGCACTTCGCTGGAGCGACGTCCCACTGCTGGGAATTTCACCATCAGTCTCCTTGCTCGCATGTTTACTTGAAGCTGATTCAGAGGGGATTTGTTTGCCCACTTCTAGAACAATTTGTTTAGTTGCCGCGTCTTCTTCTCTGTTTGTGATCGCGCCCGCCTCAGTGACCGCATCCGCTGAGAACACTCCCACGGTTGGAAGTCGAGAATCGATTATTCCAATCGCCTGGAAAAATAATAAATATATAAAATAATAAATATAATATAACAGTAATTAAAAAACCCGACTGCATAGAAAAGTTTATTGAAAACAGATATTTTTATACCCCAAGTCGCTGCCACAATTGAGATGAATCTATTTTTTAATGATAGTGGTAACTATGAATCAAACAAACATGTATATGTGAGAGTTTTGGCGGGAAATTGACCGGCGGCGGTTTGCTGCTCCTCTATTATTGTTTAAATAATGGTTTGAAGTGGACTTTGATATGTAAAAGTGTTGCGATTTTGTGTATTAAGTGTCTACGCATGTGAACTATTAGTGGAAACAGTGAAACAAGTGCTCTGATGGTGATGGATTCTCAAGATAAGCTGTTTGTTTGCATAGGCACCTTTAGATACCATCGCCAACTATCATCGTCTGCTGGATCAAGTTGCCGCCAAAATCTCCCAAGAACTGCACAATGTGACGCATCAACATATTGTGAAGCAGTATACTATGAAGGAGTGGGGAAATTACAATAAACCGAATAAAAATACTTAAGACTTGGCCTAAAGGTCTAGATACCAGGCCATAAACTCCAAAAAAAAAACATGTATATGTCTATATTTCTTTTTTTCTATATCTTAACCGTTACCTTAACCCACTATCCAACCCATGTTCACTGCAGTACATATGACTCTCCCATAGAATGCCTCGTCTTTGTCCAACAAATAGACCATAGGTCCATAATAGCGACAAATAGCTATAGCCTATTTATTTGTGATAGCCACGCTAAGCAAAGCTGTTGGCAATCGCAGTTTTTTATTTTAGTTGTTATTAAGAAGATGATGTTGCCCATCTCCTGAATGTGTATGTGTGTGTGTGTGTGTGTGTGTGTCTGTGTGTGTGTGTGTCTGTGTGTGTGTTTGTCTCTCTCTGTGTGTGTGTGTGTGTGTGTGTGTGTGTGTGTGTGTGTGTGTGTGTGTGTGTGTGTGAGTGGGGGGGAAGAGTTGAGGAGGTGGGGGGTGTAGGGGTATTGCTATATAAATAGCGTGTATTGTGGTGTGTGGGTACCTCGTAGCCGAGTCGCGGGCTCACGTGGGTATTGCTGTATAGATAGTGTGTAGTGTAGTGTGGTGTGTGGGTACCTCGTAGCCGAGTTGCGGGCTCACGTGGGTATTGCTGTATAGATAGTGTGTAGTATAGTGTGGTGTGTGGGTACCTCGTAGCCGAGTTGCGGGCTCACGTGGGTATTGCTGTATAGATAGTGTGTAGTATAGTGTGGTGTGTGGGTACCTCGTAGCCGAGTTGCGGGCTCACGTGGGTATTGCTGTATAGATAGTGTGTAGTGTAGTGTGGTGTGTGGGTACCTCGTAGCCGAGTCGCGGGCTCACGTGGGTATTGCTGTATAGATAGTGTGTAGTGTAGTGTGGTGTGTGGGTACCTCGTAGCCGAGTCGCGGGCTCACGTGGGTACTGCTGTATAGATAGTGTGTAGTGTAGTGTGGTGTGTGGGTACCTCGTAGCCGAGTTGCGGGCTCACGTGGGTATTGCTGTATAGATAGTGTGTAGTATAGTGTGGTGTGTGGGTACCTCGTAGCCGAGTTGCGGGCTCACGTGGGTATTGCTGTATAGATAGTGTGTAGTATAGTGTGGTGTGTGGGTACTTCGTAGCCGAGTTGCGGGCTCACGTGGGTATTGCTGTATAGATAGTGTGTAGTATAGTGTGGTGTGTGGGTACCTCGTAGCCGAGTTGCGGGCTCACGTGGGTATTGCTGTATAGATAGTGTGTAGTATAGTGTGGTGTGTGGGTACCTCGTAGCTGAGTTGCGGGCTCACGTGGGTATTGCTGTATAGATAGTGTGTAGTATAGTGTGGTGTGTGGGTACCTCGTAGCCGAGTTGCGGGCTCACGTGGGTATTGCTGTATAGATAGTGTGTAGTGTAGTGTGGTGTGTGGGTACCTCGTAGCCGAGTCGCGGGCTCACGTGGGTATTGCTGTATAGATAGTGTGTAGTGTAGTGTGGTGTGTGGGTACCTCGTAGCCGAGTCGCGGGCTCACGTGGGTATTGCTGTATAGATAGTGTGTAGTGTAGTGTGGTGTGTGGGTACCTCGTAGCCGAGTTGCGGGCTCACGTGGGTATTGCTGTATAGATAGTGTGTAGTGTAGTGTGGTGTGTGGGTACCTCGTAGCCGAGTTGCGGGCTCACGTGGGTATTGCTGTATAGATAGTGTGTAGTATAGTGTGGTGTGTGGGTACCTCGTAGCCGAGTTGCGGGCTCACGTGGGTATTGCTGTATAGATAGTGTGTAGTGTGTAGTATAGTATGGTGTGGTGTGTGGGTACCTCGAAGCCGAGTCGCGGGCTCACGTCGGTATTGTTGTATAGATAGTGTGTAGTGTGTAGTGTGGTGTGGTGTGGTGTGCGGGTACCTCGTAGCCGAGTCGCGGGCCCACGTCGGTCCACAGCATGGGCTGGTGGGTGTAGGGGCGGGGGGGCTCGAGCGCCGCCATGTTGGCGCCGGCGACGCGGCCCGACGCCACCGCGTGGTCGTGCCGCGCGACGCGCCGCCGCCCCAGCAGCGGCTCGTGGAAGCACGCCGCGTCGCCCGCCGCGAACACGCCGGCGCGAGCCTGCACACACGCACACCTACACCTATACATACACGTACATGTACACGAACACGCACACGTACACGTACAGACACACAAACTCTGTTCTGCCGGTCGGTGCACATTACTGAAACATGTTATATAACAACGTTCTATAACATGCTACGTTATATAATGTGTACGCACCGTTAGGCAAATAAGAAATAAAGTTACATACCTATCCGAAATGAACTTCAAACAACAATGACATAGCGCCTAAAACAAGGCCAGTGTTAGGAATAAGATAAGACATATCATTTTATTTTATTACACGAATCTTAGCTAATCAGTGTTAATATCTTTAAGGATATTCATGATATTAAAAATACAGACATGCCACGACTTCACATGAATAGGATCTATTAATCATCGTTCAAGTATCAACTTTTCGTTATTTTTTAAAAATACCCTTTCTAGTACTGCCCTCTATCTATTCGTAATGTTTCATGACAATCACTCCAGCCATTCCGAAGATTAGCCCGAACAAACAGACAGACAAAAATTTTATAAATATTTGCTATGTCCTTATAGCACACAAATAACACCTAAAGCTTAATGCATCATCATCTTCATTACAGCCCTTCACAAGTCCACTGCTGAACATAGGCCTCCCCCATGGAATGCCACAAAGCACGGTCCTGAGCCACCTGAATTTATCGACTTTCTGCATGTCTTACCAGGTCGACACTCCATCTAATGAGGGGTCGCCCCACACTTCACCTACCGGTACGAGGCTGTCACTCGAGAACCTTTTTTCCCCATCGGTTGTCAAATTTTCCAGCTATATGGCCGGCCCATTGCCACTTCAGCTTGCTAATCCGTTGGGCTATGCCGGTCACTCTGGTTCTGCTGCGGATATCCTCATTTCTAATTTTATCATGCAGAGAAACCTCCGAGTATAGCCCTCTCCATAACTCGCTGAGCGACCTTGAGCTTCCTCATACGGCCAGCAGTGATGTACCACGTCTCAGCTCTATAAGTAATCACTGGCCAGAGGCTCTGGTTGTACAGTCTCGTTTTCAAGTTTTGAGGTATACCTGACGAGAAGATGTGTCGTAATTTCCCGAACGCTGACCAGCAGAGTTGAATCCGTCGATTGACCTCTCGGTTAAAGTTGAACTTGCCTAGTCGGACTATTTGTCCGGGGTAAACATACTTGTCAACAACTTCGAGCTTAGTGCTCCCAACAACTACCGGCATAGGGGTGGCATGGACGTTATACATGATCTTTGTCTTGTCTTCATCTTAAGACCTATCGTTGGGAGGCACACTATATCGTCGGCAAATCGAAGGTGCGTGATGTACTCGCCATTGATGTCAATACCGCATCCTTTCCAGTCGAGTAGCTTGAAAACGTCTTCCAATGCAGCGATGAAGAGTTTCGGGGATATAACGTCAACCTGTGTTACACCTCTCTGCAGTTGGATAGGTTTCGTACTCTGGTTCTGTACTCTGATAGCCATCGTAGCTCTATTGTACAAACACTTCGATACACCGACAGTCAACTTGGCACCGCTGAAGAGACTGCAGCACCGTCCAAATTTCGACGGAATCAGAGGCTTTCTAATAGTCCACATACGCAAGACATAGTGGTAAATTGTACTCCTCGGTCTTCTGTACAATTTGCCGAAGGGTGTGTATGTAGTCTATAGTACTAAAGCCTCTTCGGAAACCGGCTTGTTCAGGAGGCTGGAAGTAGTCGAGTCTGCGTGCGAGACGATTCATAATGACTCTCGAAAACAGCACGTAGACGCGGCTCAGAAGAGAAATCAGTCTGTAGTTCTTCAAGAGAGCGTTGTCGCCTTTCTTGAATAACAAGACCATCGCACTTCTGCTCCACGCCTCCGGAGTAGTGCCACCATGGAGGACGGAATTAAAGAGCTTCTGAAGGACTTATAGTACCGGTTTTCCACCCGCTTTCAGAAGCTCCGCTGTAATTCTATCCTCGCCTGGGGCCTTGCCGTTTTTAAGGTGCTGGAGAGCCATTCCGATCGCATTCAGACTGACATCCGGAATATCATCAGAATAGTGTGGGATAAGACTTGCTCTTGAATCGTTACTCACACTTGCGTGTGGCTCCAAAGATAACGTGAATGTGCCCACAGAACCTCTCAATCTAACTCAAAATCTCAGGTGTCCCGGAAACGATACTGCCACATGCGGTTTTCAGCTTCGACAGTTGGCTCTTTCTGGCAAACAGATCTCTAGGAAATATTTTGGAGCTCTGGTTCCGCTCAATCGCTTCTTCAATACGAGCAGTATTAAAGTTGCGTAAGTCCCGCCGCATGCATTTGGAGATCTGCCTGTTCAGTTGCCTGTATGCTGTCAAATCTACTGAAGAATTCAGTTTCATTTGCCGTCTAACAGCCATGAGATTAAGTGTGGTTGTAGAGTTTGTGTGTTCTTCTGCGGCGGGTCTTACAAAACTTAGCTCCGACCGCATGAATAGTTTCCACAAGCTTGTCATTCATATCGTAGACTGCATTGCAATCTTCTAGGCACTGAAAACGGTTTTGTGGCTCGAGCTGACAGATTTCGGGACTTTGGATTAGAGCACGAGGAGGACGGAGCGTTGACTTCATTAGATGACACCTCTCCAACTGAACGTTTAGGTTCAGTGTGCCTCTAACCATTCGGTGATCGCTACCAGTTTTGACGACTTAACAGACGACTGTCATTATTATGGCGTATTTGAAAATTGGAATAAACAATTTGCAACTAAATTACGCAAGTAATCCCAATATCTAATATTGGTACTTAAAAATGGAATCCATTTCTCTGTATTCATTCACGAGCACGATTTCTTAAATTATTTTTTACACTTATTAACTGTGCTTGAGTACTTTTTAACTTCCGTGAACGCAGCAATAATTTTACTGTGGCAGTCTTCATAACTTTGGGTCTCTTTGACGTAGAGACGACTCTTTATTTCACCCCACAGATAAAAAGTCTAACGGTGAACGTTCCGGCGAGTTTACATCTTCATATTAACTATTAAAATTATCGCTCACTGCACTTGAATACTTTGATTAGCTGTCAATTGTTCTTCGATTGTTAGGTACAAGTACGTTAATTTCTTGAACTCATTTTCTTATAATCTTTGCGCACCACGTAAATTTCATTGCTTAAAATGTAATACCGCACCATTTCATCGCGGTTTAAATATTTTCGTTCGTTGGTAACGAAGCGACACTACTACTTAAGAAAATTAAAAAATAGCAGTAGCACACTTGTACGTAATGAGGTCACGGTAAACACTGTCAACTCGGGTACTCGGGTCAACGTAGGTATAAGATACCTAGCGGTGTAACGGTTAACGGAAGGGAAGGGCGCGAGAAGACGTGCGACATGGTACCTAAATTTTGTAACCGAGCAACCCTTACGAATGTGTGCGTGAGTAGTAAAATACATATTTATGAATAACAATTAGTTAAAATAATGCATCACCACGTATTCTTAATTTAAAAAATAAAAAGGACAGAATGTTTAAGTTTTTTTTATTTCTCCTCACCATTCGCCTATATTACTAATTCTGAACCTTCTCTGCAAATTTGGCCGTATATTACAAAATAACCCTGCATGTATAAATGTCAAAATTACTCAATAAAAATGATGTGACTTACCCCTAGTTTGAAGGACACCTCTCACTCTCCCTGAATTGCGTGCACTATCCCTGTCACCACTTATTCCAACACCACTAAGAGGATAGTGCACTCTATTGAGCGAGGACGGGAGGTGTTCTTCAAACTAAATAAAACACTACATTTTTATTATTTTATGCTTATCTTAACTAATTAACATTTCACATCACTATGTTCTATTTTAAGCTTTTGTTGCATGGGATAAAATATGTTTTTCTTTTCTTCCCTAATTTTAATCACATAGCTAATGAAAAGGAGTCATGAAAACGGAAAATATTGCGTACTTTTTAACTATAAGATAATCGCAGTTGCAAGTGGAGTGTTAAGTTTTATACGTGATAGAGTCATGCTGCTGTTGGATTATGGTTGTAGCACGAATGGGTCTGCTCGACTGGGGAAAGAGTACGCTCTTACAGAATACCAGAGTAGGATAGCAGCTCAACGCTGCTGTGCTTCGTATGGTGTGTGTAGAGAACCAGAGATCCTTTTTACTGGATACGAGGCATTCCATATTAAGTCTTCTGGGGCAAGGATGGATTAAATGTCGACAGCGCTTTAGGCTAGTACCTCATCAGCGCCCCGCTGGCGACCATATATTATAAATTATAACTTCTTATGTTAATGTTAAATGTGTTATAAATTATAATGTATCCTTAGCAAATGTGTGTGAAATGTGATGAGAAGAGTCAAGGCGATGCAAGAGTAATGAAATGGACGGGGTGCGCTTCGGAAGCTCTACAAAGAAAGTATGATATGACTTACTTAATTTTGTTTTCATTTCAAAATTTTCGATCGCGGCGCTTTATATCCTCGCGCCGCTAGACATGTGCCTAGTATACCTTAAGGATAATCCGCTATTACTCTGGGGTGAAAACGCATTTGCATTTGGATTCTTAATCGAGGATAAATTTAGATGTCTATGGGCCACAGTATCCACTTACCATCAGGTCGGCTGGGTGCTCACTTATCTCCCGTATTCTATAAAAAAGGCATGATGAGGTGAAGGGGGGAAGGGGGGCAATGCATACCTGCATCTCTGCGTTAACGACGACGCCTCCAAGGTCTGGATGCACCTCGAGGCCAGAAGACGCTGCCAGCTCAGTGTTGGGCTCGATTCCCACGCACTCCACCACCAGCGAAGCCACCAGCTCCGAGCTCTTTTCCTCACTACTCGGAGAGATCTCCTCACCTCCCACTTTGCTCAGCTGCAGGTGCACTTGTTCCGAGCTCACACGGCTGTCGGTCACTTCGGCTGCGTGATACAACCAAGATTTTTATTTCAGTCAAGTGATAAGCAAACGCAGCAAGGATGATAGCAAACAGCCACAGAGGACTTTGCGCACCTTATCTATAGAAAAGAATCATTTTTATTCAAAAAAAAAAAAAAAAAGTAAAGTGTATTAAGCTCCGAACTATGTGATAACCGCTACGAAGTCTTTAGAAGGGATAGGCAATCATCTGGGTTCCATTTTCAAAAGGATGGAGGGGGAGTGCTTATTGCTGTTTCTAAGAAATTTTCAGCAACTCGAATGATTAATTGGGAAAGTCAATGTGAAGATCTTTGGGTATTGGTAAAGGTACCATACTTAGATTCTTCAAAACACATAGCAATTTGTGCTGTTTATCTCCCTCCTCCAGTACAACAATTTATGCTAGAACAGTACATAGAAAACTGTAACTCTATTCTTGATAAATTTGAAGGTAAAATTTGTTTGATTGGTGATTTTAATTTGGGCACTATTGATTGGAATGCAATAAACTCGGGTACAGTACAAAACCAAACTTCAAAAATAAATACAACTCTAGTAGACTTTTGTTATACTTCAAATTTTATTCAATATAACTTAATACGTAACAGTAACCAAAGAATTCTCGATCTTGTATTAACTGATTTACCAGTATGTAATGTCACATTAGCTTTAAGTAATCTCTCCGTTGTTGATCCACAACATCCTCCATTAGAAATTGAAATTGTGCTTAATACGAACCACGTACTTAGTAACAATATTAATAATAAGAAAAATAATTACTATAAAGCTAATTATGATGCTATAAATAACTGTCTTGCGGAAATAAACTGGGAGGAATTGTTTTCCAAATGCCTCACTATAGATGAAATTATGGATAAGTTCTACACCGTACTAAATAATATTATTAAGACTCATGTACCGTGTACTGAGTTTAAGCAGAACAAATATCCTCCGTGGGTTAATAAATCACTCCTACGACTGCTTCGAGAAAAGAACAAATTACATCGTAGGTATAAAATATATAACAATCCTTTAGATGAGGTAGAATTTAAATTACTTAGCAAACGATGCGAAAAACTGGAACAAAACCTATATAATAATTATATTGAACTGACTGAAAAGACGCTCAACAAAAATCCCAAACACTTTTGGTCATTTATAAAATCGCGAAAAGAGGGAAGTAATTCTTATCCGAATATTATGACAGATGGGGTTATTTATGAATCCGACGGAACAGCTATATGCAACTTATTTCTTGAATCATTTTCGAAATCATTCGCTATAACAGACTCAGGAACTCAGAATGTAGCCAGTCCAACTTCTACTTATCTCAACTATATAGCACAAAATAGCTTCAGCCTTGGGACTATTTCAATATCTCGTAAGTCAATACTAAAAAACTACAATCACTCGATACAAATAAAGGCGCAGGCCCAGATGAAATCCCACCTATTTTTATCAAAAACTGTGCTATAACACTGGCTGTACCTTTAAAATACATTTTTAATTACTCCTTATTGACAGGTGCCTTTCCAAGCGTTTGGAAAATAGCCAAAGTAGTTCCAATACATAAATCTGGCGACAAGAACTTAGTATCGAATTATCGACCAATCTCAATTTTGTCGACAATGGCAAAAGTTTTTGAATCTGTTGTTTGCCCCTCAATACAAAGCCATTTTCAGCAATACGTCAGCGTACATCAGCATGGTTTTTTAAAATCGAAATCCACTTGCACAAACTTAGTCACATTTGTCGAAGGAATTGCTGAAGCTCTAGATAAACAGGAGGAAGTAGACGTTGTGTACACAGACTTCAGCAAGGCCTTCGACAAAATACCCCACTTACCTCTTATAGACAAACTTGCTGCCTATGGCTTTACAGGAATTTTTTCCAACTGGATTAATTCATATCTAACGAATAGACGTTTCTTCGTTGTTGCTAAAGGCTATAAGTCTGAAGTTCACAAGATAACCTCAGGAATTCCTCAAGGATCCCATTTAGGGCCAATTCTTTTTAACGTATATATCAACGATATGCCCAATAGTTTCCTTTATTCAACGCCCTATCTATTCGCAGATGATTTGAAAATTGCCAGAACTATTAAGTCCCAAGCTGATGTTCTTATGTTACAACATGATTTAAATAGGTTATACAATTGGTGCTGTACAAATGGGATGGAATTAAATATAGATAAATGCTTTTTTATTAAATTTACACGCAAACATAGTAAAACTAAATCCAAATATTATATTGATGGTAAACCATTAAAAGAAGTTGATAGAATTAAGGACCTGGGAATAATTCTAGATAACAAATTAACTTTCGTACCACATATTGAAAGCATTGTTAGGCGCTCATCTAATATGCTGGGTTTTATTATTAGAAACAGTAAAGTGTTCAAAAACTTACAGACACGTATCACTTTGTACAAAGCACTAGTGCGCAGTCTTCTTGAATACTGCCCTGTTGTATGGAGGCCACACTATGCCACGCACATATTAAGAATAGAACGGGTCCAAAAACGCTTTTTATGGCATTTATCTCACATCTCCAAAGTTTCAAAGAAAAAGTTATCCTATCATGAAAACCTCAAACACTTTAAAATGTCCTCGTTGAATAAAAGAAGGACCCTTTTGGACCTAATATTCACTTATAAAATTTTTAATAATCAAATCGACTGCCCTCAGCTCCTAAACCTTTTTAATTTCAGGATCCCGCTCAGGGCTCCAAGGAAACCCGTTTCTCTATTTTATCCGCCATTCCGCAGGACTGTTTTAGGAAAACATTCACCAGTTCCTCGTCTGTGTAACGCATTAAATACGTGGTTTATTAATGATCCCAAGGATGTTTTCTCTCTTAAACTTAACCAGTTTCGTGTACATTTGTTAAAAAAAATCCCAGATTAATTATACCTATCTTATATCTGTAATAACTAGTTTAAAATTAACCTTATATCAATGTAAAAGGTACTTATGTCACATGTTAAAATAGCACGCTGTGTTTACCTGTAACTGATTGTGCATTTAGCTCATAATAGTTTATTACAATGTAACTAATTTAAGTTTCTGTAATGTAACAGTCGTTGGTAGACCAAATAAATAAATAAATAAATAAATATAAACTACAAGATTGAAAGTCATTTAAGCTTGGTAAAGCATCTATACATGGGTTTATTTTAGAGGATATCCTCTATTTCAGACTAAACAATTGATCTTGTGCCCTAATTTGAAATCTTTAATAGAGGACAAGATCAAAGAATTCATAAAACACTTTGAGGTGACGCGCGGTTTTAGAGAGACAAACTACGTTGTATTACGTATAAAAATTGATTCCATATTAATAAATGTTGCTACTGATACCATAACAGCATTTTATTAAAAACAATATGATATCCTTTATTTTAATCCTATGAATTTAAGCTCCTCAAATCAGCTAAAACACGAACCAGGAGCTGGCAACCCTATCTATACATCTATACATATTGCACCTATACCGTCAAAATATAAAATTACAATTGCCTTTTAAGTTCGATTTGTCTTCAGGTAGAAATTGCTTAAAGCGATATAGCTACCGTTAGTAGTTCGTAAGTGTTCCGTTATTGTAACAACTTTAAGTTTAAATGCAATAAAGAGTTATCTATGCATGACATGTGTGTAATGGTCAAAGTGTAATGGACCTTGTGTAGTGGGTATGTGTTATGGGCAGTGTGTAGTGGGTCGTGAGTAGTGAGCAGTGTGTAGTGAGAAGTGTGAAGTGGGTCATGTGTAGTTCGTAGTGTGTAGTGAGCAGTGTGAAGTGGGTCGTGTGTTGTTCGCAGTGTGTAGTGAGCAGTATGAAGTGGGTCGTGTGTAATGGTCAGAGTGTAATGGGCATTGTGTAGTGGGCAGTGTGTGGTGAGCATTGTGTAATGGGCATTGTGTAGTGGGTATGTATTGTGGGCAGTGTGTAGTGGGTCTTGAGTAGTGAGCAGTGTGTAGTGAGTAGTGTGAAGTGGGTCGTGTGTAGTTGGCAGTGCGTAGTGAGCAGTGTAAAATGGGTCGTGTGTAGTGGGCAGTGTGGAGAGGGTCGTGTGTAGTTGGCAGTGTGTAGTGGGTAGTGTGTAGTAGGCAGTGTGTAGTAGGCAGTGTGTGGTAGGCAGTATGTGGTGGACAGTGTATAGTGGGCAGTGTGTAGTAGGCAGTGTGTAGTAGGCAGTGTGTGGTAGGCAGTGCGTGGTGGGCAGTGTGTTAGCAGTGTATAAGTGGGCAAGTTTCTCACTGTTGGGCAGCAGGTCCACGCCGAGGGTCTGGAGCGTGCGTGCCAGGTGTGCCGCCAGGTAGTCCGGCAGCTCGTCCGCCAGCGGAGTCGCCTCACGGAACATCATCACCACGCGCTTGTCGGTGTCACGCACTGCAAAGGTCAAAAACAATAGAGCACTGAGTAAAACTTTCCAAATATCCCACCTTATGACCCTAACGAACCATACCCTATGAACCTATAACGGTAATGGGCTGGCACTTTGCGGAATTATTGCTCTACTGTTATAGAATCAATAATAACTAAACTAGCAATAGATAGGCCGTTTAACTCGAAGCACCTATAAGGGAAGAAACGTTTTATACGTGATAGAGCCACGCTGCAGCTATATTATGGTTGCAGCTAGAATGGGTCGGCTCGAACAAGCTCTCGCAGAATACCAGCGTAAAATAGCAGCTTAATACTGCAATGTTTAATATAGTAAGTATGTACCAACACTTACTAAGTAACACTTACTATACTAAACATTTGGAACAATTGGAGACCATTTCATCTTAGTCCTCAGAATGACAACTCATTTCAGCGTTCTTGATTCGCAGGTGACTATGGACTACAGTTGTTACTTATCATCAGGTGGAGTGTAAGTTTGTTTGTCATTTCGGTTATAAGAAAGCTGGAGACAGCTGGAGAGACCAGAATAAGAAACCAACAACAACAATGGTCAGTTGGATTTATTATATACAAATTTTAACAGTCTATTGAGAAATCTTACTCTATGCACATATATACGAGTAAATGTTGACAAATTGCAAGGCGCATTATAGTACGGCCGCTGAGTTATTACCGATTTGACAGATTATTCTTAAATTAATCGATATAACCTTGCACGAGCGACACATTTGCCGAATGATTTAGAATACCTCTTTAATATAAAACTTTATGTCAAAATGTCAGAATCAAGTAATTTTCCAATAAACTCTGTTTCAAAACTTAAAATAGTTTGTAAATAATATGAAAACATTTATTTTTTGTTCTTTGGCGCGCTTGTACAAAGTTACATCGTGCGTCTAGTTTTCATAGTGATGTGCTTGATAGTATTCGGTCCGAATTCATTGGAATAGATATGATATTTATTTTATTTGGATATTTTTATTTTACTTATTCCTTCGAGCAACTAGACTATAATGCTACCATTTTATTGCGTCTCCTAATTGCACTGTGTTGCCAGTATCTCTATGATTTTTAAGATTTATGTGTGATCCAAAGACAGAAATACTGTTTTCTATGATTTAAAAATAAATACAATTAAAATGATTATGTATAATTTTTAACATTAATAATATATAAAACAACATTTAATAAATATAATTTTCTCCCTCAATTAAGCAATGTTATAGGTGTATTTTTTTAAGTAATTGGCGATACTATTCTGACAACACCCTTACCACCGCTATTTTAATCTGTTTAGTCGTCTTCCGTACTCTCGTGCGCACAGACTACGATCTCTTGTGTAACCGTTGTTTTTTGACTCGGCTTTCTCCTGTTTATCGTTGCGCTTTATTGGACTAATTTTGTTTGTGTTTGGTAATTTTGTTGAAAATGCCGAAACGAGGAAAAACATTGAATAGTCAATGTCGTGAGCTTGTACTAAAGCTACAGGATTACTTTGAGCGTGAGTCACAAAATGGCGGCCCTTTGATTCCTGTCACTCAAGTGAAAGATCGGGTTTCACAAGCTCTTGGAATTGGTGCAAAAACACTATATAATATAAATAAAGAAAAATTTGGTGCTTCTGGAAGTGAAGATAATGTTTTACGCACTCCTAAGAAAAAACGAAGACAAAAGCCCGTGACAGGTGTTGATGTTTTTGATGCAGATGCAATAAGAAACCACATATATCGTTATTATACTAGGAACGAGTTTCCAACTAGACGTTGGCTTTTGGTCTCTTTAAAAGAAGCTGGCTTGTTTAAAGGCGGTAAAACGGCGTTGTCAAAACTATTGCACGAAATTGGGTTTGAATATAAAAAAACGAATAAAAGGAAAATATTAATGGAAAGATTTGATTTAATAATTAAAAGGAGCGAGTTTTTAAGAGAAGCCAGAAAAATCGAGTCTTGGGACAACGTCGTTTTTGTTGACGAAACATGGTTAAATGCGAACCACACTGTGTCACGCTCTTGGACTGACGAAACAAAAGCATCAACCTCAAAGGTTCCAATTGGAAAAGGATCGCGACTGATAATTTGTCACGCCGGTTCTGCTGGAAGTGGTTTCTTTGAAAATGGACTGCTGGCTTTCGCGTCAAAAAGTACTTCCGATTACCACGAGGAGATGGATACAGACACTTTTACGAATTGGTTCGAAAATCAATTATTACCCAGCCTGCCAGAGCCTTCTATCATAATAATGGACAACGCTTCATATCACTCCAAACAAGTGAATAAAGCGCCTACTCAGGCCGACAAGAAAGCTGATCTCGTAGCATGGCTACACCAAAATGGAATTGAAACTACTGCCGAAATGCTAAAGTCTGACTTAGTAAAGTTGGTACGCGAAAATAAAACATCAAGAGTCCGTTATGAAGTAGATGAGATAGCTCTAGCACATGGACATCGGATACTTCGAATTCCGCCTTATCACTGCCAGTACAATGCCATTGAGCTAATATGGGCACAAATCAAAGGTATTGTTTTTTATCGCATAAGTTATGAATATGAATAATTTGTACTATTATAACATCCAATATTCAGCATATAAGTAAAAAGATACATAACTAAGAAATAAATATCTCATGTCCCTTACATGTAGGTAATTGTGTAACATTTCGTTTATTTAATGTAATAAATTAACGTTATTTAATGTTTACATTACAGGTTACGCAGCTCGTAATAATACGACTCCGCCATTCAGTACTAATAAAATGATGGGTCTATTAAAAGATGCTTGCAGCAAAATAACGAAAGAAGATTGGGTCAAGGTCGTCGAAAAGACTCGAAAAGTAATAACAGAAGATTATGAACGCGATATAAGAGTGGACACCATTATAGAGAATAAAATTGTCATACAAGTGACTGATAGCGATGACAGCTCTGGCGAATCTGGTTCAGAGTCTGAATAATTGTTTTAATAAATAATAGGTAGTCATTTATTAAAACATCTTGTACCTACTCTATTCATTAAAATGTGTAACAGTGTTTACAAATTTGTTTTATTTTGATATGTCCTCGACCAATTATCTACGCCCATCAAGGATACTCCACCTAATAAAGAACCTGTGTCTTTAACTATTATTGTTTTGATTTTATTTAATTACACACTATACTAGAATATTTAAAAACAAACTGTTCCCAAATGATATTAGGGTTACTGGTTCAGTCACTTCACTAGTATTGTCAATTCGTCATGTGTCAAATCGGTAATAACTCAGCGGCCGGACTATAACGTATACAGCGGGGATTATGTTCGTGTTGAGCTGTTGATGGGATGGACCTTATAATATATCGTAATCTTATTATATTTGATATGGGCGCATGTGTTGCGCGGAGGGGTAACATAACGCAAAAATTATTGATACATGAGTATTATCGATATTTTTTATTACTATATTTAGTAGGATATCGATAATTTTTGAAGTACTCGATATTTTTAAGAATGAATATGATTTCAGTCAATGAACAAAAAATATTCAATTAAGATTTCAATGTCTGAGTGGTTCGAGACTTTACAAATTATTATTTTTATCTAACTATTCAGGAAAAGACTAGTGTTAGGATTAGTTCTTTATTATGTTGTGCTAGTTTGTCATAAAACACTTAAAACTAATTATTTGGTATTTTTATTTTAACACATTGGAAAAATTTAAAAAGTACTCGATATCAAGTAGTATCTATACTTTTAAAAAGTCCCTTTTACCGATAACGTCACTTTAACCGGTATCGCTACTTTTTGTACGATACTTGGTATCGAGTAGGTAGTAGTAGGATATACACCTCAAGTTAGAATGTCCAGTGAGATACTGTCGTCGTCAACTATCCTTGGAGTCAAGCTGTCGTCAAACTTTTAGAAAACTCCGCAATGTAACGCATCAACAACCAAAGAAATAAAAAACAAAAGGATTATTTGTGTTAAAATATTAAAAGACACGCGTCGCGTACTTACGGCGTTCTGCAAGTGATGCGGCCAGCTCGCAGGCGTGCGCGCCGCCGCCCAGCACGACCACGTTGCCGCGCGAGCGCTGCAGCGCTGCGGCCAGGCGCGCAACGTCGCGCGCGCTGCGCAGCGCCAGCGCCAGCCCCGCGCCGCGCGCTGCACGCAGCGCTGCGCATCGCTTAGCGCGCACACCTGCGCACAACCACCGCTATACACCGCTAACACCACGTATCCACATTAGCGAAATACCACTCACTCACTCACTCACTCACTCGTCACGAGATCTCCAAAACTATACACACGATTCATTTCAAATTTGGCATATATACTCCTTTCAATACGTAAACGCCTACAAAGAAAGGATCATTATGATGATTCTCACCAGTGGCGATGAGACACTTGTCGTAAGTAAGTGTGGCGGTGGTGCCTCTTGCTGACAACTTGGCTTCGTGCTTGTCCACGTCCAGCGCGGTCACGGTCCAGCCGCGAGCCACTCCAGCGCCGGGAGATCCCTCTCGCAACTTCTCCGTCGGCAAATAGAACGAATTGGGCTCGTACGCCAATCTACGGAACACCACGCAAATTCGAAGCTAAGCAATCAATATTATATTATAAAAAATTGTTAGGGTATAAGGAGTAGGTTCGATACACCCCCTACCCCACATATTTAATTCTTACACTGCCCATACTCTAATGATTTCTTATATTTACGCGAACACTACATTCAGAGAACCCGCGTAAAAGAACACATAGCTGACGTGAAGCACCAACGTTCCGGGAAGTCTACAGTTTGTGATCATATCCTAGACGGCCCCCGCCATTACATTAGATTTGATAAACCACAAATTCTCGCGAAAGAACATCGATTCCTGCCAAGGATGATACGTGAGGCTATTGAAATTAAAAAACATCCTAATATCAATAGAGAGGGAGGCTGGGTACTACCACCTGCATGGGATCCTGTAATTCATAAAATTAAACTAAACCCAAGCATAATACTGCAAGACTTCAAGACACAGTTAGTTCATTCTGTTTAGATCGGACCAAAATTATTAATTAAAAAAGCTGAAAGTACTCCGGGTTAACTCTGACATCGGAACGTCAATGAAACGTCGGGAATATAAAATAAGTTAATTAAACGCGATAAAATCCGTAAAAGTAGTTCATTCAATGCCCATACCCTAATTAAATTAGCTTTAATTGTCACGCTTGGCAAATGGATCGAAAATTCAAGACTTAGACTTTTGGCACCTTTAACGCTACTTCCTGTCGCCGGTAAGGATACTCACACCTGTCACAAAACCATAAAATAATGGCATTTCCTCTAGTCGCCTCAGAGAACACACACAAGATGAAATAGGGTGATGTAATACAATTACATCGACATAGTACAGTCGACATATCGAACGACGTACAGTTTCGCAGTTACTTGGAAGGGAAGGTAAATTAAGCTCTAAAAAGCTTGGCATGCTCAGCATCTGACAGTGTTTCATGCCGGAACAAGGCACAAGGTGCGGATTAGGCCTCACGTGGAATACTTGTTCTCATCCCTGAGCCAGAGCACTTCAGTGCCAGAAAGAAAGAAGAAAGAACTATTTATTTGATATACACATTTTACACACATTAAAAAAATATACAAAAGCAAGGGGAAAAAATATGCATGTCACATCATTAATTAATAATTAAACAAAAAAAAAACAAAATTAAAATGTGACAAATCAAATCAAATAGGTCTCCAACTCAGCATAATGCTGCAAAGACAGCGCTGGTTTTCAGTTGGAGCCTTGAGACTTCACAGACAAGTCGGTGTATGATCTTCCAAATACGAGTTATATACTAGTTCATAGCTATCTATTAACAATTACGAGTTAGAAAGTAGTGCTAACGTATATAACGTATATAAATAGATAATACACACATACACTGAGACTAACCTAGCTAACAGGTGTATAAGTATTATATTACCATATATTTAAATAATACCTACTTATCTATACTAATATAATAAAGCGGAAGAGTTTTTTGTTTCTTTTGTTTGTTTAAACGCGCTAATCTTTGGAACTACCAGTCCGATTTGAAAAATTCTTTTTGTATATTATAGCCTGATTCATGTGGAATAGTATAGGCTATCTAGCATTAAGCTATATTACTCAGCTAGCCTTAAATATGGATATTTGTTAAGCAAGTCAGAAGAAAAAGCACTCCCGAAATGATTTATCCGCGTACGCTGGTGTTATCGTTAGGAATACGTAAATACAATGTTCTAGAAAAATATAGACCTTTACTCCGTCTAAAAAAAAGGTCCGCGATACCATATGTCTATTTCTTATACATAAGCCATAATTTGGTATTTTGTGACAAAAATATATTGAAAATTTAAAAGTGATTTATGAGCGTTATTATTAGGCATGGCCTATTTATCCTTACGAACGAAAGTTACTTCATCATCAAGACAATTTTATGAAGATAAACTTTGTTCTTTATACCATGTTATTTGTACGCATAGTTTAAGAGATAATGTAAAATTAAAATAATTCAATACTTGGCTGGGCGCGCAAACGACATTTAAACCCTAGCCGTTATAAAATGCTTGAACTAGGTCATGTCACGCACCTCGGACACGTGATTACGGGTGAAACCGCGGGGCACAGCTAGTATACTTATACATACAATATTAACATGATATTTGACTATTCTATGGGGAAGAAATCATTAACTTTTTTACAAAAGTAGATAATTTAATTTTCTGTAATCAAAAAGACACGCCATGTTACGAGACCTGCTGCATTTTTAGAGCACCAAGGAAAAAAATGAAAAAAATAAGATAAATTAATAAATAATAAAAAGTGCCAGCTTCTTCCACTTGATCGCATCCAGCCCAGAACGGCTCGTATCGTCTATGACCGAATTCTTTCTGATTAGTTCGATTCACTGAATTTGCGAAAAGATGTTACATTTTCATCGCATTTACCATGTGGAACACTGTGAGGAATTGTTTGGATTAATTCCAACAGCCAAATTACACCAACGCACATTGCGACAAAAGTCTAAATACCATCCACACCATTTGGATGCGTGACGGTCCATGACTGTGCAATTTACTAGGAGTTTGCTTCCTCGCAAGATTTCATCTTGAAATCATTTACCAGCGGCTGTTCTCCTGGACCTTTTTACCTTCTTAAAAGGCCGGCAACGCATCCACAATTCCCCTGGTATTGCAATTGTCCTTGGCGACGGTAATCACTTACCATCAGATGAGCCGCATGCTCGTTTGTCCCTTCTATAATCTATAAAAGAAATGAGTGTAGTGTGGTGTGGTGTGAAGTGGTATGGTGTAACATGGCATGATGTGGGCTGTGGTACGATAACTGACCTCCTGCGCTTCCCGTTCCACTGGTGAAACACGAGCGTATCGGGGTCTGCCGCTCGAGTCGCCAAATCAGGTTCGCGCCACAGTTCCTTGTTGAGCGGGGGCCGCATGTACGGCAGAGCAATCTCCTCGCGATTAATGTTACCTGTAAGTACACTCTCAATGAGTGCTGCTTCGAAGCTCCTCTGGTAGGAGGAAGAGTGGCCAGATCTGATTTCGGCTTCATCGATGCTCTCAAAAAAGCTGAGTATCGGTATTTATTGAGATTTTGTTCCTGGACAGGCGCTTGGTAAATTGCCAGAAACAGTTTCTCGCCAGCCTGTTCAATACTTTCAGGTGATGTTGAAAGCCCACTGAAAATGTCTGAGATGTTTTGGGTCAGATCTGGTTTAGCCGTGAACAGCTTAGCAATTCCCACTTTGCTCTTTCCATGGATTGCGGAGGTGGTGTCGCATCCAGAGAAGCTGTGGAGAAGGAGAATTGACTTGGCAAATTCAAGCTGTTGAAGTTGTCGCACTGAAAACAATTTGGTCTCCACCTTTCCACGTCCTGGTTTCATAAAGAACACGTTGATATTTGGTGGAGCCAATCCCATGAGGAGGACTATCAAGTCGACATCCTCCCCAACTATTACAACAGTTGGATGAACGGCAGCCTTATCCAACCCGCAGCTGACAATAGTACCATCAGCATCTCCTGTTGCAACAGTTGTTTCAATCCCTGCTGCTGTCATTTTCTCGGTGAGGAACTGAATCAGCCTAGTTTTATTGTTTTCATTGGCAAGGAAATGCTCCTGTTGAACAGTGATGATCGTATTTTCGTTACAGTTAATGTCAACCGACGTTCTAGTCAAACCTCGTCGCTTCTGCTCTGCTCGTTTTGTGCTGTTGACATCACTGTAACCATCAAAAACCACCATACAATTTGTACCGTAATGTTTCTGTACGTAGGTAATGTACTGATGGCAAATCGAAGAAACGCTGGAGGACGGTTTCCATTTCATACGGTGTAGTAGGAAACCACCATCTACCACATTGGTGGTTTGGTTGAGATCGAGAGCTGCGTTATTCTCTACTGGCAAAACATCGTAGAGGGATGACTTCTTCCCTTTTCGCATCACACCCTCGTGGAACAGAGACATGGGGAATGGGGTTAATTCATAAGTCAAAAGGTCTGCAACATCTTCGTCATTCTTTTTTGCTATGACAGTTCTTTGGAAAATAGTTAAAGGGTTAACAGTAACTGTCTCACCATTGTTTTTAATGCTACTACTCATACTGGCTAGTGACAAAACCACATTCTTCTTAGACTGCTTCATGTCACTGAATCTTCTGCCAATGAAATTTTTCATCGTTTTGGTGCCAATATCTAGGGCTTGGTGGCAGTTTACTTTGGAATTTCCCAGGACGCCCGTTGAGAGAGATATTAGCGAATTCAACTTTGGAAATGGGGGATGTTCACTAAACCATTCCCGAATCTTAGCTCGATCTCGTGAATCTCTCTGTTGCCGTGACTGCCGGAAATCAACATGCTGTTCTCCACTAGCAAAAACCACTTCGGCGAACTCCTCCAATGAAGTGCAGATGGCGGTGCATCCCGGTGATCCGCAAACCCATTTGGCCAATACAGAATCAGTAATTCCTCTTCCTCGCGTCAGGCCACCTGAACTTTTCATGGAGCGCATGAGAGTTTGCTCTATTACCATATCCGACCAAACTCCTGCCCAAGGTGTGCCTGTGCGATTAATGGTGAAGAAGCCTTTTTCTGCAAATTCCTTGTACGTTTGGGGATGGCTGTTCTTCAGTTGCATCATGTCTTGCACGTAGATATGGGCACATTTCGCGTATTGGAAGTGTCCACTTGCATGGAAGAATGGGATTATCTGTTGTACACACGCCAAGTGGCCGTCCCAATCACCACAACGCTCAAAATTAATGTATTTCTTCATGAGTGTAACCATATTGAAATACTGCACCCACAAAGCAGCGGTAGGCCCATTCTCTTTAAGGGTCTCGAGATGGTACTGACATTTTTTCAAAGTTGACATCAAGGAAGCATTCTCTTTAACTTTATCTGGAGTAAATTCTTCCATGTTGATCAACATAGTCGAGATGTCCTTCTTCTCTTCTTCTGATACATTGGCTCCATCCAGAATAATATGAGCTAAAACAAGCTGAACAAGCAAATGTCCTCGAACGGCTCGGCTGTAGGCATGTCCTGTTAACATCTTATCAACTGAATTAGGAGCAAAAATTTCCCATCTTTTCTTAACGCGCTTGCCTTTATTATCCCACTTATCCCTTTACTTCCGACTTTACACAAGTCCATTTCGACTACATTATCACAAATTAAACACTTCTCCGACATTTTGTAGTGCCACGTAGAAAAAAAATCACAACTCGCGACGCTATTTAACCTCTGACCGATTTTGGCGCGAAACTCGGCGTACATACAACCACTTCACTGGCGGCGCGTACAGTCTGTGGCGCGCACTTTACTACGACGTTAAATCGCGAGAATTGATCATAATTAACTGTTCTTCTTTAATATCTCGTTAAATATTGATCCCAGCGAAAAAGTGTATAGAATCTTTTTTGTATAAAATTTTATTTAGATTACTTGAGTAGAAGAAATTTTTTTGCTATGAGCCACCGTTTACGAGTTATTTAAGAAAAACTTAAAAAAGGGACCTTTACACCCCCCCCCCCCTACCCGTTAGCTTCACCCCCATTCATCAGTACTTTGAGTATGTTGTTTAAGACACCATTCCCTACAACTATGCCAAAAATCGCTTTTACACGAATTATTTCCCCTATTTGGCAGTTTTTGGTCTTCGTTGAGTGGGCTACCAACCATCCGTCGTTTTTTGTGTGTACAAATAATAAATGTATTCTGTGGTCTGAGCAGATATTTTTAACTTACAAGTTATGTATGCTGCGTTTAAGTATTATGTTGTAGTGTTCATAATTCAAAGCATGATTTAAGTTAATAATGCAAAGTTTTAAAATCAGACAATATTATGTACTTTGCGTAAATATGTTGTGATGTTATAATAGTTGATGTAATACGAGTAAGTATATGTTTTTATATATATATATATATTATTCATTTATTTAATATTCTTTATTACACACCATACAATATTATATTACCAACTTTTTTAAGCTCATTGCTGGCCATGTCTTTTTAGCATTTAGTATTATTGGAAAATTTGCCTTTACTCGTTTATGATTATTTTTAAAATATATTAAATTATATAAAATTTTCTATTGTTATCATTTGTTTCTATCAATTAATAATAAATAATGCGTTTATTTCGGTAACCTTGATTACAACACGAGGATACTCGTCTCGTGTTGGGAATGACCTGCTACTTCCCTTAAGGATTACAAAAATGTAAGATTACAAAAAGTTTAACTTCAGAAAATTTGTAATTATATGTGTATATTAAGGAGTGCTTTAATGTGTGTGTAGGAGTGTTGTTGTATGTATGATGTGGGGGTGTGTGTGTATGTGCTGGTGGATAAAGAAATTATAAGTAAGGCCGGCCATATACATACGGAATTCCGTTTCGAGATTCCGTTTCGATATTTCGATTCGGAATCCCGATCGCAGCAAGTCCATATAAAATCTATGACCCGCCACATACGTACGGTAGTTTTCCGTTCGATATTTTGCGGGCAAAACGGGATTCCGTATGTGTGTGGCCTACCGTCCGGAATTCCGAAACGGAATCTCGAAACGGAATTCCGTATGTATATGGCGGGCCTAAAGCCGGCTTTTAAGATGTATCAGTGCAATATGCTTTAACCATACCGGGAAGTTAAAAACCTAATAAGGTTATAGGTATAGGTCCCATAGGACGTGGTGCGAACAATTTCGGGAAGTCCCCGTACATAGATTTTGAGTTAAAAGTTCATTTTAGTATTTTGATTATTACTTTTCAATTTTATTTATGATTATTATTTTACATTAGTTGAAAATAAAAAAAAATCGGGAGATACGTTCGCTAAATCGGGATATCGCGAGATATTAATTAAAATCAGTATATCTCCCGATAAATCGGGAACTTTTGCAACACTGCGCTCCTGCCGCCCTGCCGCAGGGCCGACTTAAAAAATTGCCCCTGCTTGCCTACACACATCACAATTAAGGAGGCAATTAATCCTCACTCCTACACCCTAGATTGCCCCTGCGGCAGGCTGGTCAGTAGCCACCTTAAGAAGACTAGTTGCCTTGCAAAATAAAATTTTATTGATCAAATATGAAAGACTGAATACTGTTAGTCTGTTACCTGTAAATGTATAAGATATTGGTGAGATAGATTTCAGACAATTCTATTTAAAAGATTTTCAACCTCGTCATAAGTCACTGTATACAACCAATGCATTAGAGTTCTTTTGCATATATTTATTTGCATAGGATATATTTTTAAGTATTTTATTTAATTTATTATATACAAAAGCAGACTGACATGGCTACTGTCTAATAGCAAAGTTACGTACAGTACGTACAAGAGGTATAGGCGCTACAATATCAGTTCTTCTCTTTTTTTGAAGGGATTCATTAAACGGTGGGGACTTATGACATTTTAGAATGAGGTTTTCTACGTGGTAGAGCCATACTGCAGCTATATTATGGTTGTAGCACGAATGGGTCGGCTCGAACGGGGAAGGACCACGCCCTCACAGAAAACCTGCGTAAAATAGCAGCTTAACGCTGCTGTGTTTCGTATGGTGAGTGTAGAGAACCGGAGACCCTTTTTACTGGCAAAGAGGCATTCCATCTTAGTCCTCACGGTTGACAACGCATCTGCTTCTTGTGTCTTTATTGAGGATAGATGTAGATGTCTATGGGTCACACTAACCACTTACCATCAGGTGGACTGTGTGCTCGTTTGTCACCCGATCCAATAAAAAAAAAGGTTAAGAACATAAAGCTTTCTAACTGAGAGAAGTTTACTAATCTGATATAGGGTGTTAGTAGAGAATCTATAAGGTTTGATATACATGACCTTTATAAGCCCTTTGCAGCTAGATGGTATACGGAATCCCATGTAGTGCCAGTAAAGAAGATCCTTCCCCCGACGTCCTGTAAGTTACACAATTAATTGATATAAATTAAAAAGAGAGTCGGACCAAGTACACTCCCCTGTGGGACACTAATTTAAACGGTATCTTCGTCACTAATGAAGCTGTCTATTTTTACGGCTTGGGTTCTGTCACGAAGGTAACTACTAACATGAGAGAGCATACATTAATTTAATAAAATTTAATTAGCCAGTTAGCTGCCATTCATACACATTTTACAACAGTGTTGCAGAGGGAAATTTCGTCTAGTCGCTATAATTTTAAGAATGCTGTTAGGACTAGCCCTAACAGAATTGCGCCTTTTTACGTATAGATTCGTAAAAACAATTTACGTGTGCTCGAATCTAGACTGCTCCATCAGCACCTGGAACGCGTTATTTTAGTGCATCCAAAGGATTTCAAATACCCGTTGCACGTAATGGTAGTCCCTTTACAAGCTGCAAGTGTAAAGAGTGGCGAAAACTAGTGGGTATTGAGAAACCCGCTTATATATCTTATGAATCACCTTAATAACTTTGAATGCTTAAGAACTTTCGTATTGCGGATAGGTAATGACAGCCCGCCACATTTCATTTTTTTTTTTTACTATAAATTAATATTAAATTATATTCAATCCGAATGAATGTAATATTGTTCAAATAACTTAATATTTTGTTATGTAGATACTTCTCGTTGAGGTCAAAAATACATACACAAATATTTGTGTATGTATTTTTGTCCTCAAATGTCTTAAAAACACATCGATATTGATGTTTAATAGAATCTAGGTCAGGTCTAGGTCACGATTAAAAATAGATTAAGGTAGGTATTTAAGTTTTATAATGAATAATATAAATATGGATTCGGTTTTGCCCCTACGTCTGGTTGAGTGGATTCGGTTTTGCGCCTGCGTCTGGTTGAATCGTGTATTTGGTTGAATCAAACTTTATTCTAAAATTCGCTCTCAAAAATTTGTGATTGGTTAATTTGTGAAGTCTCAGTTCCTTATCACTCTTGCCTTTGTATTTGCGAAGCGGCAACTCTCAGTGAATGGACCTAGAGTGAAACAACATTTCAGTGGTTCCTGCTCAGAAAATAAGCGTTCGGTTTACGAAGTCTTCGGAGTCTCGAACCTCGCATGCAGCGTTTGTTCGTGCGGCTGCGACGCGCCAACTGAGCCACCGAGTTAGTGACGTAAGTCACAAAACTACGCTTCGCTAACCGCTTACCCGGTAACATCATCCGTACTATTTATTTACTTTTCATTGCTGTATATAGAATTTGACCTTCTGCGCTTCTATATACGTTAGAATGTCGAAGTGTGCTGCGTGTGGGCGATTTGTCAGTTCTGCGGAAAGTATTAAATGTACTGGATGTAACAATGTTTATGATCGAATATGTCTTAAATTGCCTAAAAGTTTTAAGATGCCACAAAAATGGATGTGTCCGGATTGTATGAGCAAACAGCCGCGTAAAGACAACTCAGATACGCCAATTTAGGCACAAACTGATTTTAATAAAAGCGAATCTTCAGCGTCTTCACCATTAGAGCACTGTGACTCGGATGACAAATGGTCACAAATTATGCATGATCTTAAATCGCAAATAATATCAATGCGTCAAGAAATTACAAACTTTAGCGCAAAATTTGATAAAGTTTATACGGCGGTAGGCGATCTATGCAAGCGAGTCGATTGCATAGAACATAGATTAGATGCGCTTGAGCAACAAGAAAATTGTGATCCACCTTCAAACAGCACGAATGAAATGAGTGAAATGATGGAATGTCTTAAAATGGAGCAAAATGACCGTGATCAAGAACAACTTCTTATGGATGTAGAAATCTCCTGTCTCCTAGAAGTAAAGGGCGAAAATCCGACACACCTCGCAATTCTTGTAGCTGAAAAACTGGCTATGAAGTTATCTGAGGAGGATATTGTTAGCGCGGAGCGTATGGGACCGCCACGCAGCCCTGTCGATGGAGAGGGTATAGATAAACCGCGGCCGTTAGTGGTGCGATTGATGCGGCGTTCGTTGCGTGATCAACTACTGCGGAGTGCAAGAGTGCGTCGAGGCGTCGATAGTGCTGGCTTCGATCAGCCCGGCCCGCCAAAAAAATTTTATGTCAATGAACGCCTGACACGCACAAACCGTCAGC